GAAAATTTAGGACATAAAGAACGATGAAGGATAGTGCCCTAGCTAGTACACGATTGACAGTGTAGGATTAGACTAGATTAGACTTGACAGGTGCAGATCTACTATCCCCAAACTTCTTGCCCTCATGTCTCTTGTCTATTTTTTTGACATGTGTTATTCTACTTAACAAAGAATTAACTCTGTTAAGTTTTATTATTTTGCATTTTTAAAAAAAAGAAAAAAAACACCTCCAACATTGTCCCACGAAAAAACGTGGAGGAAGAGTGATGCAGATGAAAAGGCATTAAAGTTTATGGAGTATTTGGAAAAAAGCGTTAGTAAGCATGAATGTTTTGTTTTGACTTTTAATAAGTTCCATGTATTTGGAATAGCTAAAGTCGTAATTATTTGAATGGGGTTTAATGTATCTGGATTAATAGGTTTAATTAAGAGATATTTAGTCATATACTCATTCTTAACACTAAAATTATAAACAAATCCTACACCATTTAATTTCAATAAACAAACCCCAAAAAACTATTGAATTTAATTTTGATTAGTAAATTACTTTGATGTCCTATTGAATGTTTTGGGCTTTTTTTATGAGGTTTTGGGGTTGGGTTTGTTTTAAGAAATCAATGGCAGTTTTGTAATTTAAAAGAAGTTAAAAGTTTTTGTGTTATGTTGTAAATGGGCTTTGAGTGTGTTTCTAAAGTCCATTTTATGTATGATTTTTTTAATAATTTGGCCTCTTAGAGCATCCACAATGATACTCTTTATTTCTTAGCTAAAATTTAGCTAAAAATATAAGAAAGCTATTTTAGGAGCTCTCTAAAAAATTTCAACTCTAACCATACTCCCTAATTTGGAGAGTCATAAATACTATAACTCTTTTTTGATTGGTCCATCTCTATTAAAAAAAAAAATAGTTAGCATTAAATAAAGGTTTGAAATACTCATTAAATAAATCAGAATTAAATTATAGGGAGCCACTAGAAGTCATTTCTCTCTCTTCATATTTAGGAGCTCCTAGAGGACTCCCTATTTTAGGAGGTGGATAGGGAGTATGGTTGAAGTTGCATTTTTACAATTCCTCCCCAAAATTTGTCTAAGGAAGTGGTTTAGGAAGCCCATTGTGGATAATCTTATATTGAGTATAACTCCCTTTAATTAATTTAGGTGTTAGTTCAAAGTATCGAATGAGAGTTTAGGTCTTTAAACATTTGTATGCTCAGACTTATCAAGGAGTTGTTGATAATTTGAATTGAAATTAAAGAGAGTGTTCTCTCATCTTTTGCTCATAATCTAGGTATTCTTAGAATCAACATGTCTGAGTGTTTTATCTTGTCTATTATGCCTAGTTCTAAGTATTCTTAGAATAACTTGGCCTTGGTGGTTTGTGTTTCGTGTTCCCAAAACCCTTGCTCGAGTGCCGCTGCATTGGAGAGGAAGAGAGAATCGGGAAGGAGTTGTTGGGTTGCGTGCTTGGGTTTGTTTTTGTTTTTGTTTTTAATTTCTTTTTAAAGTTGGGTGGGCTTCTTTTAGTTATTGTTTTGGATTTTTTCTCCTAAAAATTCTTTCGGAAATTTCGGTGGCAATATTATAATTTATTTGATGTTCAAGTGTTGTTTTCTTTTTGTAAATTGGGTCCGAGCTTCTTTTGATTGTTTTTTAGTTTTTTAGTTTTTTTTTTTTGGTTGTTGTGAGTTTATGGGTTTGGCTTGTTTTAACAAATGTGGTGGCATGTTTGTAATATATAGGAAGTTCTAGACCTGTTTGTTGTTTTATAAATGGATCTTGAGTATGTTTCTAAGGTTTGTTTCATGTAGGGTTTTGTTATAATTTAGGCTCCTACGTTGGGCCTAATAATGAAGCCTTAACAAAAAAACACAACGAAAAAAGAAAAAAACAACCTTAAACATGTTATTCAAAAACCCATTTTAGAATGACATTATACAAAAACTCATATAAAGCCTATTTGAAGAGAGCAAAACCCAAAACTAGCCACTTGTTATTTTCTAATTAGCGCTCGAGCGGGACACACGAATCCAGTGCATATCCTTGGTGAATGTGGATATATTTTCTCCTAGTTTTGGAGTCCTTTAGGGCTCGTTTGGTACACCGTATTAGACTCTAGATAGGAGTAAATAGTCTATGTCAGGTGTTTGGTGTCAACTTGTATTATTTAATTACCCGACTATTTTATACGAGTTGGGCTTTTAATACTCTCCTTACCTGACTAACTAATACAACCCACACACCCCGGTTTAGATAATACACGCTTAATTATACGGCTAAGCACGCGTTCTACAAAAAAAAAAAATCATACGCTCTTTTTATCTTCTTCTCCCTAGGGTTCTTCTCTGCTATCTTCTCCACAGGTTATTTTCTTCACTCTTCTCCAGGTATCCATCTCTCTCACTCTCTCTCTTTTTCATACTCTCTCCAATGTGCTTCTTCTTGCTTCTTCTCTATTCTTTATATATTTCAATTTTTTAATTAAATTTTTGTGGAAATTAGGTTATGTATTTTTCGTTTTTGAAATTAGGTTATGCTTACTTACATGAATGAAAGCTAAATCTTAAAAGGACCTATTTTACAATGAGAAACATTGGACATGGGATTAATGAATGAATTTTTGTCTCTCACTTGGAAAGTGATCAAATTCCACTAATATTTTTTCCCAAAGACTTTGACCCTTTTATTGATTCTATCTTCAATCTGCCCACCGCCTTGAGGCATATGCCCCTTCCTCCTGTGATTTACCCAACCCCCCCAAAAAAAAAAAACTCGAAGTGCATAATAATATATGAACCTTTTATTGCTTCTGTTCTGCTCTTCTTATTGTACATGAAACTTTGATGTTAGTACAGACATATGCATATCAATATTTACAGTACAGTTCTAATAGTTAAACCACATATATTTCTGTATATGCAAGCCGAATGGTATTTTGTAGTCTTCTGTCATGTGTAGAATTCTACTTATTGTTGAATTATTCTAATTTTACATGTAGTCTTGTGTAATGCATGATTATGAACAACTTTCCTTTTTGCTTTTATCACCTTAGTATGTGATCACTTTGAATTATACATTATTTGGTACTGTTTTTATTAACGTATGCGAGTATGTTGGAATTTTAATGAGATACTACAATTATGATAATGGGTTATATGAAAAAAAATCTAGGCAAAAAAAATTGAAAAACAAATCTTGTCATATGAATCTTACCAAAAAAAATTTGTGCCATTTAAATCTCAATTTCCATTAAAATTATCAAAGAATTTTTTTTTTTTTTAAAAATAGTCGGATCTGATGTTATCCGGAACATCACCAAACACAGTATAACTTAGTCAGACTATTTATCCGGAACAGCACCAAACGGCTTATAATATTATGGATAAATAGTCAGTACTCTCCGGAATAGATTAATACTATCCGACGGAAATAAGTCAGTATTGTCCGACGTACCAAACGAGCCCTTAAGTTTTCTATTCCTTGTATAATTGTATTAAAGCCCTATGACATATAAATATGCACTTTAGCGCTAGGTTTTGATAACGTGAGAAAACTAAAGCATAAAATTGGGTTTGAGCCAAGCGTGAGAGAAAAGAGAGCGAGGGTTTGTGAGAGAGCATATGGGGTTCTTCATTATAACCAAAGGGGTTCTTCCATACTAGTGATTTTCTCGGGGATCACCAAGAGGACATAGGCACAACGCCGAACCTCTATAAATTCTTGTGTTCTTTGTGTGCTTGTTTACTTTTCGGTTTGTGTGTGCTATATCTTTGCATGACTTGTGTGTAATAGTTTTGTAGTCCATCAACGATAAAGTCTTGGAGTGTTTTCGCACAACACATTTATATGTTATTGTCCGCACAAGGTTGCTGCTCACCCGGGCAGGATTGAATACGCAAAATACAACATGTTGATCGCAAACACATGTAAGTAAGTATGTAATACGTATGTATGTAAGTATGTATGTATATAGAGTATTAGTGGTGGTAAGCAACAGTAGATGACATCACTACATCATGTAGAAAGAGTGAAACCAGAGAAAATCTATTTTTATTTCAACAACGAAAGAAGACAATCTATTTTTGGAAGAAAGATAGATTGTGTTCATGACTTGAAGAGTAAAAAGGTGATGATATGGGAAGCCACACAGTGGCTAAGTCAGGATTTCATGTGTGTAGGGGCCTCTTACAAATTATAAAGAATCAAAAGTTCGAACTCACAATACATACGAAAAATAGTATATATATCATATATGTCAAGAATTATATTGCTTATTGGTTGCAGTCATAATTGTTCTCGACAAAGGGATAGACAAATACATTTTAAGCAAGAAGAATTGTAAGAGATAGACAAAGAGTAGCGATTTAGCAAATATCTTTAAAGCTTTTTCCCCCATTAAACCAAATAGAAAGAAAAAAATAAAATTTCACAAAAAAAAAAAAAAAAACCTTTATCTTTATGCATTCATATCATACACGAAAATATGGTTTATGTAAAAATATTGACTTAGTATGAAAAATGGTTTTTCGAAATAATCATTTTCTCAAGATAATTTTTGACGGCTTTTATTCCTTACACATCAAATAAGAAAACTTATTTTTATGGAATTTTAGTATAAAGTATATATTGACTTAATGAGCCATCATTTTTAGCCTAAATCGTATTTTGCACTAAAACCGATTTTTCATATATTTGGTTTGGTGGAATTTGATTTTCTAGTATTTTTATTTGAATTCAAATATAGGGTACTTCCTTATTTACATTGTAAACTTAAGTAAATGGAGTAATATCAAAATAAATGAAAGTAAAAGGACAAAGACATTTACTTAAATGCTGAAAATAGAAATAAGGTAATCTGTACAACTAGAGTGCACCACCACCAACTGAGAAAAGAGGCTATTTGAAGCACCTCATTGTGTCTTAATAGATCTGCCACAACACATGTGGGTACATACCAAAACGTAAAATATTTGAAATAATATATATAGAAATACATAACAGTATATTACTTTTAAAATATATAAAAACTTGAGTGGGAACCCGAGACCACATTGGTCCCAGTGTGGCTCCGCCCCTAAGCCACGGAATCTACTTTCCCTTTTTCTTAAAGAAAAATGGACAAAGATTTACACGAAAATTCATGAATGAATGAAATAAGAAGTTACAGTGTCTTAAGTGCTTCCTAGCGTCTTCCCCAAAAATATTGACGCGACCAAGCGCAAGATATGAGACAAGCGCAGTGATCAAGAACATTTTCAGTACTGGAATTGATACGGTGATGAAGAGCTGCAGAAGATTCATTATCCTTGATGAATAATTATTAGCCCTTCACTTCACCTCTCTGCTCTGCAAATATGATGATTGAATATTGACTGAGATGCTAATCATCAGTGCTTGCTGGCTGACGGATATATTCAGTATCGAATTTAATTGCTTTCTTCATGCATATTTGCAGCTGTAACTTAGGATCGATTTGCGGAAGTGGATTGCTCAACTTTGCATTTAATTCTAATAATCTGAGTACAAGATTAAAAGTTGCCATTGTTTACAATTTGCAAGTAAGTTTGTTTTTCCTTGTTCACAAATTGCCAACAATTCTATTAGAAGATGGATGTAAAATTTTGCTTCAATGGAGGATGCTTTGTAGCTGTTTCACACTCGGGCCACAAGCCACATGAAAAAGGCGGACCAAAAAGTAAGCGATACTGAAGCGAAAGCATAAGTCCACAGCATGATAACTGAACATTCCTTTTCTCCTGCTCCGAACAATTGAGTCATTGTTCCTGCCATACATAAGGAAGATAAAACATATTGTAAAGGGAAACAACACAATCAATTTGTTAGGAAAAAGAATGTCTGTTGATTATGAGAAATAACCAGTGGGGCAAATTGTAATTTGCATTGCAAAAATTCGAAGGAAAAATAACATCAGAAGAGCGTAGCATACCTATGTTCATCGCTGGTGGGAGTGAAAACTGAAGCAAAAGAACGAACAGATACAATGGATCAGAGTGCACCAACCCTAATTTGAGTGCACCTTTAACAACCAATATTCCTATAAGAGGCAGGGCAACATAACGAACAATGATGATGCCAACAACCAGAGATTTCTGCATCCCTGGCCCTCTCAAACCTGAGAGAACAAAGTGAAGTAAGTAAAAACTGAAAAATAAATATGAAAATGGAAAAAGGTGGAGCTTTTAGGAGTTATATTACCTTTAAGTAGGTTTCCTCCTATTATCAAAGTGAGAGTTGGGATAGCTCCATCTCTGCAATCATAAAGAAGAAGTTAAAAGACTAATAAGTGCGAAGAACACGGATAAATCACCAGCGTTGGTTACAGTATGGGCATAGGTTTTATACCCCAACAAAGCAGCAGTGTCTTGAACCACCCGTAGAGGAGCACCATCTCCTATCAGTGCTTTTCGAATCTGAGGGATGAGTCCGATTGAAAAACCAACAATCTATAAAAGAAAAAAAGAAGCTGAGTTTGGTCAATGTGTCAATAAAACAGAACTAACTGTGCATCAAGATGTATGTGCATTAAGTGCTGGAAGGACATACTGCGCCAGTAGTAGAAGGGGCAAATATTGTTTTCAGATTGAGCTTTCCAAACACAATCATTATACGTTGCTTTATTTTACCAGAAGTTGTCATCTGCCATGACAAACAACATTGATCAGAAATTGAAAAAGGAAAAAAAAACAAACAGAAAAGGGCGACGTTATATTGGCATACTGCGGATCATACATTCAAACAAGAAACATTCTCTTCATAAAGAATATCTTAAATAGTTGGAAATACGTAGACAAAGTGGAAAAACATGGTAAATTGATGGAGTTAGCAACCTTAGCGTTTTCCTCAGATATAGTGCAGGGCAGTGCATAATGATTGGCATTGTCCTCCACTACCTCAGATTCCTTTGAAGAAAGCAGAGGCTCAGTGCAACTTATTTCGTTCGGTGTGAAGGATCTCACCAGAGACTGGGTTGAATCTTGGGTGCCTCTCTTTGCAGATATCCGCACAATATTATACACATAGGACCACAAATAAATGGCTCCTATCTGAAGAGCAAAACCAATTGTATGAACAAGGCAGATTGTACTAAATAAAAAGAAAATATTTCAAGAGAATGCACTGAAAAAGAGACTGTTCACAAAACATATATGCATGCTTGTCCAGAATTGGATTGTGCCTGTCATATTATACACTGAAAGCTCGTGCTTGAAGTAATCTCTTAAATTCAGCCATTTAAGATCTGGCCTAAACTTATCATGGTATCGAAGATTGATCTCGACTTCAACAACCAGTGATTTGCAATCACATGTGAGAGAACATAGTCCGAAAGAATGGTGGTAAACTATCAAAACTTATCTTGAGCATGCTCCCCATAATTCCTTACTTCGAGTAATACAAAACTAGATAAAGGAAGTTCGAGATCAAAAATATTAGCAGAAGAAGAAAAAATGTACCGCCATTGAAAGTGAAGCATAAGCCAATCCATAAGTACGACAGACATCAGGAGCTCCAAATGGGCTCCCTTTTTCTTTGCAAACAGCTGGGACTATAATGAGGAGCAAGTTCCCCAAATTTCCTGTTTAAATCAACTCAGGAGAAACAAGGTATATTTTATCAGTGATTTAGAAAGAATAAATAAAAATTAGAAGGCAATTCAGGGGAACAAAATGTTCAATTAAACACATATATGCTTAAATATGTGTTTACCTGCAGCACAGCAACCCAAGACGAGGCCTCGCAGATGTGCAGGAGGTCTTGTTAGCAGGAGGAGTATCCATCCTAGTATCGAACCAACAATAAATGTGATGAGGATATTCACCGGCATGAACCACCTACACATACAAATATATACACATTCAATCATATCAAACTTGTTTTAATGTTTTAACCAATACAGCTTGAGCAATAAATCTGCCCACATGAAACAAACTGTTGCATTAACCATATTGAAATTAATTTTAACTCACAGCTTAACTATGCTTTCATATGTTATTGTCCGTGCAAGGTTGCTGCTCACCAGGGCAGGATTCAATACGTAAAATACAACCTGTTGATGAAAAAAACACACTTACGTATGTAGAAACAGTGAAACCATACAAAAAAAATTCTATGATTTTAGCATCCAACACAATCTAAGGTAGCCACAGAATCTATTTGGACAAAGATGCTAAATGAAAATTGCATGAATGAAATAAGAAGTTACAGTGTTTAAGTGCTTCCTAGTGTCTTCCCCGAGAATGTTGACGCTATCAAGCGCAAGATATGAGCCAAGCGCAGTGATCAAGAGCACTTTCAACACCGGAATTGATGCGGTGATGAAGAGCTGCAAAACCTCCATCCTTGCTGAACCTGAATTATACTTGTTATTATTATCCCTCCCTTCACCACTCTGCTCTGGAGCTGGAAATGAGCTTTATTTACCTCTTCTCCTCTGCAAACATAAAATAAGAAAAACAAAAAGACAATCCTAATTAAAATGCCATTTTTGAGAGAGGAATTGAAGAACATATGATGATATATACCTATGAATCTGCAGACGCAGCAGAGAAGAGAAGAGCAGAGTACCTACCTAGCTATTTGCTATTTGAAATTTCCCAAATATTTTTTTCTTCAAGAAATAAATCAAATGAAGGACATAAAAATTCAGAATTCCTCCTCCTCATAGACTCTGGTAATAAATGCTTGAATATGGTTGCAGAAAAACTCAAGTTACCAACAAGAAGCCAACCACATATTTATATATATCATACGGCGCATGGAACACGAGCAAGTCCTATTCAGGAATTAAGAAACAAGATTACGCATTTTATTTGCGTCGGCCCGTGTTGTCTATTGTGTTGGTCGATGGCTCAGATAACGACAGCTAATTAAATCAGGGTTCCTGTCGTTTTCCGGTTGCCATTGATGACTTCATCTGCATTGAATGAACATCTTGGTATTGCGGGACCCTCTCGCCATCGCTACTCTTTTTTATCTATTGAACCAAATTCAAACACATAAAACAGAATATTTTAAGAACCCTAATCACCAAATCCCCAATTCGGGTTTGATGTGGAATAGGACGAGAGCTAATTTGTTATGGCTCGAGTGGAACAAAATACCCCACCACGTGAAGAGCACACTTTTAAAAAGTAACAAAAGCTAGAGGAATTTGACAGAAATTGACAAATGTCCTTGAATTGCTTGGACTTGAAAACTACACGGATAAAATTGATTAAATTGAAACTACGATACCAAAATAGTGAAACCATTAAATTATAAAGACCAAAAATCACTTTTTACACAATCCCCCATGATACGGTGTTCGTGAAAATACTTCTTTTTTCTTTTTAATTATGGGGGAAAAAAAACTGAAAGCTTAGAGCATTTCTAAGGAAGATGTCAAAACCCAAATATTAAATTTAAATTTGATGGCTGATGTGGCAATTTGACATCCTGTATAGTTTTACACTCCACACGATATGTCAAATTAAAATATTATTTTACTACACTAGTGTTGACTTAAATGAATGTATTTTTATAGTTTATTATTAAGAATAATTTATTAATCAAGTTAAAATACTTATAAATTAATTATAAAATGTAACGTAAATATAATTAAACTAAAGAAATATCCATCTCCATGTTGGTTGATGATAATTTTTAATTGAAAAATAAAAAGTTGTGTGTTTATAAAATAAAATAAAAATGTAACGTTAACAATAGGAGGAAAAAAGTTGAAAAAGATCAACATAAATTTTCAATGGTAAAAAAATTCAATGATATTGTAATGTCAAGTGACAAGAGAAAAAAGGAAAAAAAAAATGAAAGCAAATAATGACAGAGCATATAAAGCAAATTAGTCTATCTGCACGCGCTTTCACGCTTGTGAAAGGCTTTTTAAAAAAAAATTAAAAATTTATTTTAGAATTAAAAAAAATAATGGGTAGTTGTGTTCCATAAAAATAGGATTCATTATCTGATTTTTCTTTTAATTTTAATTTTTTAAATATGAAATGTGTGAATTTACCATATTATCTTCATTTAATTAATAATTTCAATTCTTAATATTTGCATTAATCAAAGGTATTTTCTGGTATTTTGAATGTTTCATCATTCTCTGCTTTTTGCTTTATATATATAGATAATAACAATAAGGAGAAAAAAATAAAGATAAGTATTTAATAAAAGAATAAAGCAAAAACTAGATGGGCAAAGAAATAATAAAATAATCAAAGACGTCTCTAACATTCATTAGAGGTTTCACACGCCATTCCACATAGACTATAGCAATTCGGTTGGAGCAAATCTTTACTTTTTTAACGAATTAAAACTTGATGAGTTTCTCTCATTAGTGGAGGAGAGAAAAAGAAGTAAAATAAATAGTAAAATAAAATGAAAGAAAGGACTGGAGAATTTGAAGAAAACGAATGGAAGAGAAAATGAGAAAACCAAAAAGTTTAGAGAGGTTTAAGAGATAAAAAAACCTCATTTGTGTGAGAAAGAAAAACCAAGAGAGTTTAGCCACCGGTGTTTTGTGAGATTATAAGTGTATTCCCATTATTTTCATAGTAAAAAATATTGAGTGTTATTTTTGCCCATTTTATTTATATAAGGGTAGGAAAAGTCAGATCTTGGGACTGCCAAATTTATTGGCTTTTTTATTTTTTGCCATCTTTCCCAACAAAAGTGCCACACAGGATTTAACATCTTTCTTGGAGTGACATAAATAGATTATCATAATTTTTTTTTTTTTTATAGAATAAGCTATAGTTATTATTTATGAACAAACAAAAATACAAAGCAATTATGTACTAAATATGGGTACATCTTCTCTAGTGATCAAACATAACATATTGAATTGATGTGGAGAGAATTACCTCAACTTAAAAAATGACTAAAATCTATAATTCAGCAACAAGCACATAAAAAAAAATATAGTTATAAACATATTATCTTATATTACCTCTCTTGTATTAAAAAAAAAAACAATTCTGTTTAAATATTCATTGGAAAAAAAATTTCTACTTAATAATGTAGTTTAATTGAGTAAGAAGCACATAAAAGATAAAATTATAGAAGAAAAAGGAAACTCTGACTTGTCAACTTTTAAGATTGGGTGCAATAGCAATCCGGTGTAATAACAATTGAGTTTAAGAAATGAAATTAAAAGGACCGAAAACAACACTTCGTGAGCTGAAAACGACTGGGCATGGATCTGATGGCCCCGCCAAATAGTTAAAGTGACTGAAAGAAGAGACGCACTATATTCGCTTTCTAGTCTAATTTGTCCGTTTCGTGTGTGAGAAGAGAGAACTACAAGACAAAAAAGGAGGAGGAAGAAAATCAGAAAACGTCCACTTGCACCTCCAGGCTCCACCCATTCCTCGCTCATTTTCAATCATCCATCAGCCACAAGAAAATAATAAAAATGGTCACCCAATCAGTACAGCTAGCTAGCTAGCAGTGATCCGCCGTCCGCATTTTTTTTGCCATTTAGTTGTCCCATTAGCTATTTTTTATATCAGCTAAGCAATCCAGATCCAACGACTCAGAAACAAAGATTCGGTACGAGAGAAACCAATGACTCTTCGAACAAACTAACAAAAACCAGCAAAGTTTGGATCAAATTTGAGAGGAAGGGAGTGAGTATTTATCGAAGACCGTTGTAGACTTGCATTACGTGATGCAAACTTCTAAGTATTAGAGAGAAGAGGAACCCATGAGAGGTTAGTTGGATTGGCCTAAGTTTTTTATGTGCTCCCAAGCAACCTTAGGTTTGAGTCCCATGGTACTATGTGTGTGAGTTTCTCCTCTATCCTTTCTAAGTTTGGCCAAAAACAATGAGAGAAGATGAAGAGAATTCCCCATAACGCAACCGTATAAATCTTTTCCTTTGGGTGGTGAATGGCCTTGAAATTCATTAGAGCTCGAGCTAGAGAAAGTAATGGTTGACAGAGTAGGGCATAAATTTCTTATGGCCGTCTGTGAGAAAAGAAAAAGACAGGTGAGACTAAGAGGAAGTTTTTCTTTCGGTCTGCCTGGACTAAGAGGAAGGTGAAACAACACATGACAAAAATAACAACAGAATCATTTCATTTAAAGCAGATTATCAGACAAAAAGCTCTGGGTTACGAGCCGAGAGAGGCCACATACAATTCCAGTAATATCTAACCATTTCAGACACTAGTACGCATAGTAATCACAATTGCTAAAACCAACCAACCAGGATACGAAAAGAAAAACCATGTAAAATCAACCCCCTACTGTTTCTGCTACCGTATGAAGCAAGCGAGCGCCAATAACGCATTTTCTTCTAGGCCTTTTCTAAACCTAACCACTTATCCAGTCATCATCAAACCCAGCAGCTGATAGGGTAGGGACCACTTTCCACACCGATCTCTGCTTACCAGTGGTGGACTCAATTGAAAGCGTTCATGTCAAGCATTTGATGGATGAGAAGGTCATTTCTTTTAACTTTTCTTCTTTGATAGCTCAAGCTGAAACAAACAAACAACACATCAGCAAAGCTTCACTGTTGCTCATCTACTTCCTAAATTAAGATCTCCAATAGAAAGGCGGCCAATTAAACTACTAAAAACAAACAAAACCAATATTTTTAATAGAAAGCAAAAGCACAGCCTCAACTTTAGATCATATACACATTCCCATCAACTACAATGAACACAGAAATAAAAAAGGTAATGAACAAAGTCAAAAGCAGCCTCCACAACAAAGGTGTAGCAACCCCATACGGCAACAAAGCAGAGGGCACAGGACTGGTGATCTCTGTGAGGAGTCACCCGCTATAGCAAACAATGCCCCAAAGCTAATCCATTTTGAGACAAGCTGATTGAACGGAAGTAAAGGTCACCTTTTAACAGTACAGAAAGGATGCAGAACAAGAAATAATTGACCTCCTACTAAAAGCATCTCTTCAGATGTAATCCAGTGCTCTACCTTAAGGAAGTATGTATATGTAGCTGCATTGGCTCCAGAAATTTCAAGACAATACCTGGAAACAATCGCCAAAAAGGAAACTAAAGCAATCAAATACATAAATAGTAATCACAAATCTCACCACTCATGGAACACAAACAAAACAGAAAATGGACCAGAAGATTCTAAGCACATCCGTTCAAAATGAAGAACAGTAACATGAGGAGAAAGTGTCGCACCACGGTTGCATCTCTTGGACAGCTTTGTAATGGGCAGAGACAATATTGAACATGCGAGCATATGCATATAACATCCCTCGCACCAAGGAAACGATAAACAAAAAAAAAGAAAAGAAAATCAAAAGGGGGCCAGAAAATTGCACAAAGCAAGACAAATTCGTAACAGTTCACACAACAAAATCCAATCTGTATCTGATTCCTCATTGTCAATATAAAATGACTTCCTAAATGACAATTGTAAATCAAGCTTAACCTGGATTCAGGAAAAGATTTAATGAGATTTCAATCATACATTAACAAATTTGGTTCTCTTACAAGTTGAATATTTTATCCAGCTGTAAAGTGCAAGGCAATCAGTTAACCAGAACCATTCAATATGGAATTCATTAGGTGACTGAGAAACAATTGACCAGGAACTGAGAAGCAAATTAAGTTCAGCATAAGCAGATAACAGTATGCCTAAAGTAAGTTGGAGTTAAGATCTCACACTTATAGAACTTGATATCTGCCTTGCTGAGCTCCACCAGGAAGTGATAATGCCTGATTTGAGATATCTTCCAAAACACGTTTTAATTCTGCTTTGGCTCTCTTGACAGATTGTTCAGTAGGGCCCTC